ATGGATCTGACGTAGCACAACCCCGTTTCTTTTTCTTTTCTTTCTGTGAACGACAAGACTGTATAATTACGCTCGAAAGTCGTTTTCCACGTCGTTTCTGTTGTTGCTTACCCGCTCTAACAAATGGTGGAGAACGGGTTGGCGGCGCGTCAAACTCAGCCTCGGTGACGCCCCATCATCTGCAGCGAATAAAATGTAAATCGTACGGAATACGTAATTACTTTTCTCTCTCCGCCGTTTGCAACGGATTTTTTTTCAATTATCCCAAAAATGCATATTTATGTGGTTAGCCTTTTCGAATGTGGTGTTTGCTGTTTTCAATAGTGGTAACGAGCATTTTCTCGCGAGGTCAATATTTACCATTCCAAATGAATCTGATCGGTATATACCATTCCAAAACAATTTTTCAGTTCCTGGAAAAGAGGGAGATCGTGATGCGTACAGAGTCGCTGAGAAGGTCACTGAAGCCGGACCAGGATCTGCTATGCCTTACCGCGCTGGATTCGGAAGAGGAGCTCCACCGCCGCAGTAAAATGTTGATTCGTTGTTTTCAATAAATTGTTATTGGTTTTGTCAACGGTTCGCAACATATTTATCGGTTGATTTCCACACAAAATGAAATATTTGCATGATTGATCTTACAACAGTTAATACAGCTCGAGCGGTTCATAGTATGATTTAATGAAGTTGGAGCTAGTTCTTTTCCAATCGTCGCTTTCGAGGAACCATTTCTGTCATAAGGAGAACGTCAAGAAGGCGCATTTTCAGGCCCTTAGGAGGTTTTCAACGTCTAGTAGGAAGCTAGTGTTCAGTGAATTCCTGGCCACTTGCCATCTATGGCACCTCCTCGTCAGCGTAAGCATGTGAATGCACCTGTGCAGCTTGTTGGCCCGCAGCCAGCCGCTGGGTAGGTTTTCCGCTGTTTTCCCAAAAACAGTTTCCGATGATGGTAACCTGGGGGTGTCACACCTGTGTCGTGGGTGTCGCAAGACTGCATTTACACTTTGCATCAGCTTTTTGAGCGTACGTCAGTGTTCTAAACAACTGATAAAGTATAGGTAACGATCTAGCGTGCGCCAGGGTTTGGAGCGTTTCGCGGTTCTGGTTTTTTTCGGGCAGTCGCTGAAAGCGATGGAGTACCTTGAAACGCCTGCGCAAAGTATGAACGCAGTTGGAACGCTTGGTAGCACACCAAATTCCATGAAGTGTATACATGTGAATACCGAATAATCTTGCTAGCACCCTGCCTTCTAAGAGCCCGGTAAACATGTCAGAATGACAACTCAAGATTTGGAAGAAGATGGAAAAGGGGGTAAATGACGATAATAGCATTTCGCCATGACAGGAGTTTGCAAGGTACTTAGAAGGAAATTACAGAACTCGCAGGTTGAGATACGATTGTGAAAAAAAAACAAATGCAACTGACACATTGGATGCACGCGCATTGACAAGTGCTCATAGGTGTGCCACCCCCAAGGATGTTAGCACCCAGTTTTCCAAGGTGCTGTCTCGGCGGACACTGTGAGCTTGAGGGAGCACTGTCAAATCTGATATGTACGGTATTATAGTGGAGTGCAAAGCACTGATGATAACTGTTCGAATTCGATTACCGGTGTTACGGTGTCAGTGCATCCAGTCTGGCCCGATATGCAATTCACACAAGGAGAGCTGTTCTTCGAATGCACATTGTTTCTATATTCGGTTCTGGCGTTATTTCTACAGTATCTGAACATCTACAAGACGTTATGGTGGTTGCCGAAGTCCTACTGGCATTATTCAATGGCGAGTACACTGCCAGAATCCCGCGTCGTGAGATTTACCACCTTTTTAATTTAGAAAGTTCCACCTAATCAACCCATATTTTCTCTCATGTGTGGGTCTACTGCTTGGATGGCGTGTTACGAAGTGCTTTTGGAAAACGGTAGGTGTAGTCTAAATGTTTTGCTTTGGGCATACATGCAGCGCTAGGTTTAGTTTTATTTGCGACAATGAACGTGAAGCCCCCTACTACATGTGTAGGTTTATATACTTTATTGACGAGACGGGGTGGCCTCGTTGGAGTTGCAATATAATACAGTATAGACGAGACGGGGTGGCCTCGTGTTAGGTGATGGTTTCCAAGACGGGGTGGTCTCGGTGGTGGTAGTGGTAGAATGCTGACTTAATCTAGGCGTGCCTCTCAATACAGGAGAGGTCACGCATCGAGTATCTAACTATTTACCTATGGGTCATAATCACATGTCTCAATGTTCCCTATGGGTTATACATATCAATCAGGCAGTCATAAAAGGGTGCACCGGCAGGTTCTGGTGGCAATCCAGAACACTACAAGGCAATATCATTTGACAGATAAAGAAAATTGTCGTTTTCGCTGTAGATTCTGGGGCGTATCTGTGAGGTGGCCAGACCATTCTCCATCAGGTATACAAGCATACAAGCAACAGCATTTAGTGAAAAACGGCTTGGCGTCGCGCCAAACTCAGCCACCCTCTCTACTCTTCCCAACATCTACATCGTGAACGACTACAGAAGTGTATTAAGGTGTGGGAAGGTTCAGCCCGAGGACAAGTTGGTTAACAGCAGCTTTGGCACCTCTTATTATGCATGAACAGTTGGACTGCGCAGTCTGGCGATCACTAGGGTGATCTGTGTCTCATACCGTACTCTCTTTCCTTTGAGGACCCTGTTTTCGATGAGTTTGGACCTAGTAGAATGACGAAATACTCACGTGGCCAAATTTTCTGTACGAGTTGTCGCTTGAGTCCACCTTGAGCAAGTTTTTCCTTGTGGCAGAGCAGTGTCCTGTGTTTGGAAAAGTGAACTTTAAATGTGATTCTCACATCACTTCCTCCCATTTCTTGGCCTAGGTAGCGGATAAGGCCGAGGTCGTGGCGAGGTCTAGACGCACATTTCGCAGCAATCGACTGCAGTCTCAGTACATTTGTGAACCTCAAAGCTTTCCTCTTCCCTCTTTCTTTCTCTTCCTTTTCTCTTCCCTCCTTCTTTCTTCCTCTTTCTTTCTCTTCCTTTTCTCGTCCCTCTTTCTTTCTTCCTCTCTCTTCCTTATTTTCTCTCATCAATCTCGGCCAGAAGATGTGATGACACAGGGATGACTGTTCTCTCCCGGTGATGAGTGGACCTTCACAGAAGAGAACATCCGGTTGATAGAGCCCCTGTGGCCGTTTGAATAATGCAGCTTGTGTATGCGCAGAATTCACGTTATCACCAGCTATGGTATGATCTCCCAACCAGCACGCGTATCAGAGGGTAAATACGGGTGTTGGCTGGGAGATCCACATTGAGGTAACGTGGCCAAAACGACATTGAAGTCTCTTGCCAGTTGTTCGCCAAGGACCTATTCGGTTTAACGTGGAAGTATCACTGTAAGTCGAGCCGGCCACCTAGGAAATATTGGCGGATTCATGAACGTCTGTCAACCGGCACCCAGTAAAGTAGAGGTGGTCGAGTTTTTAATGCGAATTTCCTTTGAAACCAGTTTTCTTTCTTTGAAATCCTCAGTGGGCCTTCGAAAGAGTTTTGACTGACCCTTGGCGGGATTGCCTTTCGTGGCGTACTTTGAGAAAATGTAATAATGCTATTCAGATTACTGAGTTGGTCGCTACAATAGCCGCCGACCAGTCGACGTTTGTCCAGTCAACTTTAACTGTGATAGAGTATGCTATTGTGAAAGACACCATTGATGACATTGATTATTACAAGTTTCTTGTTTAGGTAGGTGATTAGGTTCCATTTCTATTTTGTAGCATTATCATTAGATTTATGATTTCCTTATACAGATTTTGAATTTTTCAGTTTCACGAGAATATGCCACGATTTTCCCTTCAATTCAGTGATGTACTTCTTTCATCCGTAAGTCATACTGTTACTATAAAAACAAACTTGCTGCTGGGAACAGGCGCCCTAAAGCCTGTTAGCCCATTGGCTTGTGCAGACAGCCAGTCATGGGTTTTTTTTTTGTCTTCCATGAAGGTCTCCTATCAGTTAGCCGATAAAGAGAAAGGGAAGCTCAAAGCTGGGTTTGGATCTCAGAAAGTAGCCAGGATCTCAGCTGCTAATAGGCTGGCTGCGTCACCACCATCCAAATTAGAATTAAGTGTTATATTAGTACCGACGGGTGTTCTTTTTTGGAAAGTTCTAACTAGTGAAATCTCCATTTTTCATATCGGTGGTCTGATATATGGAGTAAAGGTCAGTAGGTCAGCCCGGCTGTTTCCAGTGAGGTGAACACCGCTGTATGCGTCTTGAGACAGTGAACCCCAATCTACTTATCAACATATTTGCCCGGAGAACGATTTGGTTCTGAAGGGAGTTAGGAGAGTTTTATTCCCGCGTAAGTTATTTTTAACCATGCTAGGGCAAGGAATCGTCTTGCATATAACGTTGAAGGTTCGTTGTGAAAAGCGTAGTAGTAGGCGCTAGCGAGTTGTGGTTCAAGCTAGAGGTCGTGCGGATTCTGGATTCCCGTAAGCTCGCCCCCAACATTTAGCTTTTTTTCGACAACATGGTCAACTAGGCTTTTAACGATCTCTTGCTCGGCCTGGCGACTAAACCGCAAGGTAGCGCACTAACCTGCCAAGGTGCGAGTCAGCTTTTTCTTCGAAATGCTATGACGGGCCATTTGCCTGAAAGTAGTGGCTTGTGGCTTGTTTCCCTCCGTAGACATGTTAAAAGGGTGGTTGCAGATAAAATAAGTATGATATCACGTTCACCGAATCTATTTACCTTTGCGTACGAGTTTAGTCCAGTGGATGTTGATCGACCTAGCTTGGAAAAGTGGGCGTTATTTTAGACGCGTAATTAGGGGTCACGGAGGAGCTCACCTACCATCGGTGGCTGGTCTCGGGATGGAATTTTCTCCCGGTAATCAGAAAAATGATGCACACGGCACGAATAGTAAGCCAGGTATTGTGTTTCGCGAGAAGACATGACTAATGAGTTATTTCAGCTCGAAGACCAGTCATCACCAGTAGGCTGTCGCTGTTGGCTACCCAGTCAGCATAAGCCATACTTAACTGATTTTTCGAAGTTGTTTCACAACCTCAGATTTCGCTAGAAAGCTGTTGCTAGGGGTTATTAGACACCTTGAACACGAATGTGATACCTATTTTCACGAGGAACGTCCGTGTGTCGGGCCGTTACAGGTGCCAACGCCCCGGCGCGTCTTAAAGAAAGAGAACAGTAGTGAAAAACCTCTATAACCCCGCTTAAGGGATCGTTCCGCAAATTTTTAAGGTATTTTTGAATTCACCTTTTCGAGGCGAGTAAACGATGAGCATCTCGTTGCAAATGGCCGGGCTGACCTGTTGACCTTTCCTGGTGGGCACAAATTTGCGTTAATGTTTTAGTGAAAGTTAAGCATGAAACGTGTTCTTGATCCGTTGCTGAAATTTTGCATTTGACTTATGTTCGTTAGGTATTGCATTTGACGAAGCTAGACCTGTAGTGGGGGAGCACTTAGCACTTTCGCTACTTCCTGTAATCGTGTTGAACCATCAGGTGTAGGTCTGTGAGGCCTTGTGAAGCCATGAAGTGGTACGTGTCGAAGTTTGAATTTGTATAGAGCTTGGTCAACGTTTTGAAAAATACCCGCCAACCCTTATAAAGCACTGAACACTCGAAGGAAAAAGAATGTAGTGGAGGGTGCAAAATACCCCTTCCCCCCACAAAGCCGACGTGTCTTCCGTTTTGCTACTTCTAACTCAGATGTTGCAGCTTGATATTGTACGTGGTTGTATTCTATAGCGAGCTGGTTGGAAAATGGCGGCGATTCAGGAAATCATTTGGGGAATGGTGTCATGGCGACATTGATATTGCCCAGGTGAGTCCATGCAAATCGGTTTTCAGCTCGAAAATTAGACCTACCAAGTCAAACGAGGGATTGTTTCTTCACGTTGGCGTGAATTCTAAATTTTTTATAAATTTCCAATATCTTTTCCGCCCTGTGTCAATTTTTTGTGGAACTATTTGTCTTTCCTGCGAACAATATTCTTTCCATTCTTGCGCTGCGTCAATGAAATGTTTGCATGCCAAGCTTGCCGATCGTATCATAGAACCACCGCCAGCGCAGATAGATCTTGATTCTGTGCTCCATATGTGCAGTAGTAACCCTGGTATGTACCTTGCTTTTTCAATTTTCATCAGCATTTTACGACATTTTTGTTGTTTTATCTATTCGTTCGTGCAACTCTTTAGTGCAAATTCGTGAAGAGGTGTCACTATTACTGGAAGATATGTATCTGAGGTTAAAACGAAGTCTGTTCGCTGGTGTATCAACGGCATTTTTGTCAATATTCCTCCCATGCGTATTTGTACCGGTGAGTTATTATGATCCTGCTTAAGTCCTTTCTTGTCCTTTGCCTTGTTCTATTTTCTTCTTGAACTTCGTAGATTGAGCTCGAATCGTCATAGTCAGGCGCCGTCGGCATGCAGGGGATACTCAGTGAGGGGTAGTATTGTGTCAGTGAAGGAATGAAGACTTTTATCGGTTTGTCCTGTTTGAAGTGTGCATACACCTACCCTCTCTCACCTCCCGCCCAGAGGAAGAAAATTCTGAGAAGGGAAAAACTTCCTTCAACCGCAGGGGGTTCCGCTCACGAATAGCTCTTTACAGTGTCGAGAACGTAACAGGAAAACAAATACTAGCTTAGTTGTCATTGATCCTTTTATCGCTTTGTAATGTCTCTTTGTACGGGAAATTCGTTTTCTCCCTTCCTTTTTTTTTTCTTTCTCTTTGCTTACTGTTTCTCAAAAGCGTTATTGAAACTCGCTTCTTGTTACATGCCTGAGGGTTCTTGAAAAAGGGAAACTAACGCTTCGTTGTTGTCTCAAAGCTATGAGGGCTTTCCTCAGAAACAGCCCGTCGCTCGCTTAACCAGCTCGAAAGGCGGTCGTTCCTTGTTTCCAATGTAGTTGACATCAAGGCAAGTGAGAGCACTAATTCTCCATTCCGGCCCACTGAAACTCAAAGGCTTATTTCCCCGGCCACGGGATCCTATTTTTATTATGCTTTTTCAGCTGTCGCATGGATATTGAATGACGCTAGAATACGATTAGTGAGCCAGGGCGATAGATATCGCTCTTATGGAAATCACGTTGGGCGCAATATGAATTGTAATTGAAGCGTTCTGATGTGCCTTAGAAGGCTGATAGGTGGAATACATACTGAACTGGCCTAACATTAGAAATGATCGTCATCGGTCGCTGAACGCTCAAGTCATCGCGGTTCAATTTGGTGTGGGCATTTGCGGCCGCTTCGCCTCGATATTGCATATGGCATCCCTGTGGAGAATCCTGCCCCTTCCTAGAGGTCTCACCAAGGTGAAACGTGTAGTTCAACAGGAACTAGCAACAGGACAACAGGAAAAAGCAAATATAGAGATTGGCCCTCCTCCTCCCCCCCCGCCATGAGGCCAGGTCGCTTCCTCTAATGTAATCGTTTTTCACCCGCAATGGCCTTCGACGATTGAGTGAGTTCATTTCAATCAGCGATCCACCTTTTAAGCCTGCAGGGCACATTAGAACTATCACATATTCCTCCTAATTCAACCGCATATGTCTTTTCTTGCAGTACAAAACTTCTCTGGGTGTACCTCAAAAGGTGTTAGTGGATGAAGCGTGGGAATCCGAGCTGTGTATCGTCGTAGCTTTGACTGCTTTCTCGCTTTATATTACCTACCTGATGCCACTCAACTACTTGGATTTGTTGCACAGGTCAGTTTTCTCCTTTTTTCATTTTCTTGCATTCTCATGGCATTTATGAAGCTCCTGCTTTCCAAGTGCAGCGTCCGGTGGCTAAAAGTCGGCCGATCAAGCCTTCTATGTTTTCGGGTTTGTTAAGGACGGTTCCCGCGATCATGTGATCTCCAAAATACCTATGTGCACGTTGACACCGATGTCCGCTTTCTCATAGTGTGTACCATTTTCGTCACTCGAAAGGGCGAGGTAAAACGGCCCCGGAGACGTGACCATTTTGGGCCTTGTTCTTTTCAGTCTGCAAGATAACCGTCGTGGACCTTGTTCTTTTCAATCTGCAAGATAACTACTTGCATCGTAAATTGCGCACATGCATTATCTTGCCTGCAGCGTCGTAGGATGATTTCTCATCCTCGTCGGAGAGAATCTTAGCTTATGGACTCTTTTGCGAACTCACGAGTTGTTCTGATTTTCCTGATACCTCTTTGTAAGTCGTCAGAAGTTGGAAGCTGAGGCAACAGCAGTCCGCTTCGCAAGGCAAGATGCGTTTAGGCGCTGCTTAAAGGCAGTTGGCACGATAATTTGGTACTGGCCTAAAATGCTAGCAGGGCGCTATATAGTGGGAAAATGGCGAAAAAACGAAGTGAAACGGTCAAAACCTGCGAAGAAAAAACCTTTCTTAATGACTCAAAAGCAATTTCGGACGAGTTTCCCGTAGGCATCTTGCCAATAACCGCTACGGTAGGTACGGCTGCACATGTGTACTCATATATCCATGCAGCACCGCGGCCGCTTCATACCAATCCCTTCGCTTCATAATTTGCTTAGCAAATGAAGCAATACGAGCGTCAGGAACGGTCGTCCATTTGTGGGCGGGCGGGCGTTCGGGTCGGTATGTTGTAGCTTGATAGGGCCTTATAAGGGTACTTCCTTGGAAAAGGCGCTACGCAGCGCCTGCTCAGGGGCGCGGAATTCCGTCCTGCCAGGCGCATTAATCCTACTCGTCTTAGGGATTTATCGTGACAACTGCCTTTCAAATTCAGCATTGATGCAAACGCGTTGGTGCAGAAGCTCGTCGTGCACTGCTTACCGTATTGTAATGCATGCACTGAGTTATAAAAGCTGTTTTTTATTGTAATGTTTGTTTTTCGTTTTTTCCTTCTTGTATTGAATGACATTTAATCCTGGAAAATAAGAAGAAACTATTTATGAGCTACGGGTTGCATAGAGGCAGTACGTTGTCGAGTTACCAGCAAAGCTTTACAACTCGTACAATGAGCTCTGCGACTGTCAGGGAGGGCTTGGTAGGTGTCCTCTGAGTTTCCTTCTGCTGATTTCTTCACTGGGGAGTCATTTGTCGGCTACTGCTTGATAACTGAACATTCACTAGCCGCAATACCTGATCGCGGGCTCGTTTGAAAGGAAGAAAACATTGACCAGTACATCAGCTGACTCCCGCGAGTCACTGCTTGGGTCAAATTCTATTCAGAACGCCACTGCCATTACGAATGTAAGCGCATCTTAATACTGAACAGATAAACAAGGAAGCCTTATCTTTTTCATCTCATGTATATGACCACAATATGTTCGTTACTGCTTATCTACTTATCTATTTGTACTAATTATTATATTCCCTGAAGGAATTTCTTGAGGCTGTTCAGCTTTCAGTTAGGACTAGAGCCTGTTTTCAGTTCTCGGAAGCTCAAGGCTGCTGTCCAGAAGGCTGGGGCATGCGCCGATGTGACCTCAACGATTGTGCAGCTCACGCATCGATCGGCAACGTCTGTTCGTGCCTATCTGTCCTAGGCGAGAGCTTTCTCTGAAAATGTAGTGGTGTGTCATACGCTGCAGCGCTTGTGGTCATGCCTGCATTAGTGGTCATCGTTGAGACCAACATCACTTCAGGGCCTTTTCAAGACCCAGTGCTCAATTTTTGAGAACCTTTTGCGACGTAGAATCGCAAATGGTAATAGTAAGATACGTGGACCGTGGCAGATGTAGTAGGGATAATGATCACGAACAGCTTTCTAAGCAGAAGGGGATATGAGCGCCTCTCGGAACCGACGAAAATACGTATGATTTGCTCGCAGGTAACGATTGTTAAACCAACATTCTGGGCGGCTAGTCCGACCACGGGGTGGGGGAAGGGCGTGTGAGCAGGCGGGGCACCTATAGAACCTCTAGAAAACTAGGGAATAAGCTCATCGCCGAAAATAAGAAGTATGTAACTTGAAATTATTACTAATCCTCAATTTACTTCCCCCTTTAGGCTCGGGCAAAAGCACCCACCTCCATTGCAGGCATCCTTGCTTTGCCATAGAGTTGTTCAAATATTCTTGTAAAGTTATTAGCTCCCCCATCTAGTTTTTTGGCGTGTTCTCCTCTAATTATTTTTTCTTTCTCTTAGTTTTTTTCAAACTCCTCAGGCCTAGTCAACTGAGATCTATTTTATTTTTACAAACGCTTTAGGCAGTGTTTTGTGAGATTATCGTTTTCTCTTCCTTGATTTTTTGAACCACTCGTGTCTACTCAAACTGGATGAGAATAGGGTTCTAGCGTCCAAAAGGGCTAGGATATCGTTCAAAATAAAGGTTGTTACCTGTAACGAGGTAATGGTTTTGCGGCTCGCATATTGATTGATCACAACTTCTTGTGTCTAGATTATCCGCGACGAGAGATTGCTGTCAAGTGGTATGTGATGCGGTGCTCTGCTGGTGGCTATGACTAGCTGGGTAGTTATCGTTGACAACGGTCACTACAGGGCCTTATTAAGACCCGTCGCAAAATTTTTGTATATCCTTGGAACAGCAAGGGTAAATTCCATGAGGGGAACCCGAGAGTTGTATCGGTCTAGAGGATCAGAATGAGTTGAGGAGGGAGCTTCCAACTCTTCAAAAAAAAGAATACTCAGAGGTGGAATTGGCAACGTCTAGGTCACGGCATCTTTTTTATAAGGTGGGTACTCATGTATTTTGTAAAAAATAAATCCAAACGGAGAGAAAAAGAAGCCTTCCTGATTTTGATGAGTCCCTTGTTGCAATGCGCCAGGCGTTCTGTTCTCATTCAGTGTGAAGGCTTTTAAATGTGGTTGTCTTCCACAATGACTCGAGGGGGTGGCCAGTTTATAAGTCCGCGTTTTTATCCTTGAACGTAGTTCTACTATGAGAACCGTGAAGGAATTAAGGGCCTTCGTTAGTTTGGCTAGTGGTCGATCCTGCACTAGACCACGGGCAGGGTACAGCATCGTTGTGTGAAACACATGTTGGGGGTCGTACTTGGCCGCTGGGGAGGAGGCGGGTCGTATTTGGTCGTTGTTAGGGAGGGGGTCGTATGTGTCCTTTGAAATTAGTTCGTCTTGTTGAGAAAAAAAAATTTTCTCGTTGTTGTCTTTGTTCCCTGTTTCATGTGTACTGTGTACCCATCCCCCCTCGCTCGACGGAAAACTTTTGGGTGAAAAACTATCAAGCAGCTGGGCACGTGTAGGAAAGTAAGGAAAGTGGTAGGTAGGTGTTGGGGAAGGGGGGTCGTACCGAGGTCCTCTTTTAGGCGGGGATCGCACCTAAACTTCCGTGACCCTGCTTCGAGAGGGGGTCGTACTGACACCACCTTTTCACACATCACGATGCTGTACCCTGACCACCGGTCGCGCGTCTGTTTAGCGATTCCACTTGCCATTACATCTCCTCTCTTCTGTTCACTGGTACTACTATAAGCTGTACAAGTGTTTTGGTATTATTCTGTAGGTCCTTGAACTCTCCTTGGTCGTTTCGTTCCCATTCGGATGATGCCAGCATCTCGGGCTCGTAGGCTCTGAATGGTGCCCAAGATATTGT